AGTTCTCAAAATAATTCTGTGTGATTTACAAACTTAAAAGGTGACAGAATTTTTCAAAACATTCTATCATGGCTAGTAAAGGGGAGAACAGAAGAAAGACAGAAATAATACAAGGACCCTCTGTGTTTTCTTTGTCCTCCACAAACCTTCTCTGCATCACAAGAACACACGGCTGCTGAGCTGCAGCTTCCCACTCTTCCAGGATCAGGTCACTTTTCACCTGCTGTAAACCCTGCTGAAAGCCAGCTCCTCAGGGAGCTGCAGGAATTGGAGCTGGCTTCTCTTCAGTCTGCAAGCACTCAGAAGGAAATGTCCCTTGCCAAGAAAGTGGTGCCGTTGGGGGAGAATCCATCTACTGTCAAGGAAGTTTCAATTAAATATGGATGCCAATTAATTTAATTTATATTTTTCCATGAAAAATGTCATTTTATTATACATGCACTGGAAAGAGGCCAGGAGCTCAGGTCAATAAATTACATCTCTACTGACATCATACAGAATCACAGACTAATCAGATACTTATTAAATGCCCACCTGTGTGTGAGAACTTACTTTGGAGGAATCCAACTGAAACCAGGTCTGTGCAGCAGGACCTGTCCCTGCGCTGTGATCATCTGGCACCCACCTCCTCTCCTTAGTTTTGCACATGTCTCGGGAGAACAGCTCTACAAACGTGTAATCAACTTTCAATTGCCAGTGGTTATGAGTGGGCACATTTAATGAGTAAGGGAAAGAATGATGGAGAACTGTAAATAATCTACTGTAATTAATCAGGAAATAGGCCTTTTCTGGTTAACAGGGTGCTTGCCATAATTACTCAACTGTAGATTCAAATCAGCTGGTGGTAGGTATACAGGTTGAAACTTCAATTATGTGTCAGGCTGTGTGTTTTATGTTAGGCCTTTAACAATCTTTCAAGATAGGGATCATTTTCTCTCTCTGTCTGTCCTCATTTTAGAGAATGAGAAACTGAGGCTCAGTAAGCTGAAATAACCTTGATGTGGTCAACATGATGTGGTCAGGAGAGGAACCCTACCTATCCTTGTCTGACTTTAAAGCACAGTATTCTTTCTCTCGTGCTGGTCAATTACATCTTCATGGTAGCTCTATACTCTTGGTTAAGTGTGACCATTGTCTCTGTGGGAGATGAGATGGTGACTGCCTGTCTCTGACAGTGCTGACACATGGAACAGTGCAATCGAATCATCTGGAGTTGACTAAACCACACCCCAACCCTGGAAATTCTCTGTCCCAGTTCTCTGTGGTTGTGAAAGCGTGTCACTCAGTTGCAGTGTGTTTCCAAGCAGTCCCAGAGAGTGGAGGTGAGTGACTCCTTCTGGGTTTAGTTGTCCTTCTCCTGTGGCTGGGGACAGGGCAGAGAAAAACCAGAGGGACTTAGAATATGTTCTTCAGTCCAGCAGCCTCAGCATCACCTCATTAACTGGGAACTCATTAGAAGCACAGAATCTCATCAGGACCCACAACAGTTCTTATGCATGAAAATCTGTTTTAACAAGATCCCTAGGTGATTCAGGACACATTGCTCTAATAGCTTGCTCTCTGTTTCTCCCTCTCTCTGTCTGATTGAATCCAGGGCCTACACTCTGAGCCACACTCTCTTAAATTTTAAGACAAGTCTCTCAGTTGTCCAGGCTGGACTCAAACTTGAGACCTCCAGCCTCAGTCTCCCAGAGTGCTAGGGTTACAGGTGTGCACCACCATGTCTACCTAACCCCTCCTTTCTGTAAGTGAAGAGACTGATTCTGGCCAATGCCTCGGACAGGAGGAGGGATCTGAGTCGGGATTAGACACTCCAGGCCTGGGAATATACTTCTATACTTCTGGGCAGCTCACTGTTCTCTAGTGGTAAGTATGTGCTAAAGCAAATTTAAGGAAAAGTGTCTTTCAAGTAACTGAGCTTAACAGCAGGCTGCAACAAGAAATTTATAGTGAGTAATCCAAGGAAGAGAATTCCACTAAGTCACTGGCAAAGCAATTAAACGAAGGTTAGTGATAACAAATCACTCCCAGAAAGAATGTGAGGAAGGGTTGAAAACCTTTATTTTGTTTTTGGGCCCAAATGAGCTGAAGGGGACTTCCACAGCCAGGGTGAATTGTCCCTTCCTGCATTAAGGCATTCCTTTTCCCATCTTTTCTTAGCTATTTGGTTCCTAGGCCCTTCTGATGCATTCAGGAAGTTCTATTTTTCTTTACTTTTCTGCATTTCCTTTACTCAAATCATTCATTATGCTCCCAAGCAGATAAAACAGACAAATGAGCAGAACAAGTTTAAAAAATGTGATTCTGTGTCTGTTTTATGTGGTTACAGCACAGCTTCCCCCTCCCTGACTTCTGTAAACATACAGGGTAGCTCAGTCTCCTGCTTAGTAAACGGGAGGCCTGGTTCAACTCCCAGCACCACCAAAAATTGTTACTTTCATTTATACATAAAATAGATTTCCCTTATTCAAATTCCCTTCACCCAGTACAATGAGTCGCCAGTTAAGAGTTTCAATGACCCCATCTTCTCATTTCCCGGATGCCCCTGTTTCTTTTTCCTCCTTTCCTTGTTTTTTTCTTTTTCTCTCCCTGCTCCACTTGCTGGTGTTTATTAAAGCAAATCCCATACATCATTTAACTAATTTCCTGCAGAATTTCCTGGAGGCAGGGCCATAGGATGGTTAAACTGGACAAACGATCTTTTGTGATGGTTTTACTCACTGAAATATGGATTTGTGTGCCTTAGATAAAGAAAAATATAACATGTCTAAAACCTCTATAAAATACCCCAGATATTATAGTTTATTTTCTATCCCATTCTTTTCTCTAGAGTCTTTGAGGGGGAGGGGTCTCTGAGGAATTTCAAACTTTCTTTACTATTAAAAATAGTAATACAATAACAAAATTTTAGATATTTATATATCATAAAAAGGTTCATATTCTCTTACTGTTGGCAAAGAATACTCTTAAAGCTTGATATTTGAAGTGAAGAATTGTCAATGTGTAGTTCAAGGAACTCTTCTAGGGCTAGAAACTAAACATATATTTCTCCCCATGTCAACCCCCTTAGCTGATTATTTGTGATGGTTTTAAATGCACTTTGGATCAGGAACTCAATATGAAAGCATGATATATAATTGTTTCAGTGTTCACACATGTCAGATCTATGGAGTGTCAAGTAACTGAGCCTTAGTTATTTTCATTAATAAATACCATCCAACTAAATTTAGGTGAACTGCCCTCTAAATAAGTCAAATAGACTGGAGCTTTGAATGAAGAAATTAATTATAGCTAATGTCCTAAGGAAAAGAATCCCACTGTGGCATGGAGAACGTAATTAATGGGAGGTAAGTGCCAACAAATCACTCCTTAAAATATTAATGCTATCAAAGAACAGCTGGATAATGAGAGAAACCTTACCCTAGGGAGATCAGCTAAGGTTGCTTTCGCTGGCTGTGTACAACTTTATGTAGCTGTGATGTAATGAAATTCCTTTAAATTTTAAGAAAAGTAATTTTAAGAGGTGTGGTTCTGGGAAATTTATGAGCAGCAAACATGGCTTTGAGTTTTATCATCTTATTGTGTTCAGGATACCTCAATTTTGCTGTGGCTCTGTATGCCTTTTCCTATTAATTGGTCAGGACATATTAACAGTCCAAACGACCCTCCTTACAAACAAGTAGGCTTTTAAAACAATCTTTAAACCTGACCAAAACTTTTATTTTTGTAAATAAAACCCTAGTACTTAAGAAGCTTCTGTAAAATAATTTCTCGTATGCTCAGATTAAGTTGAGAAAAACTTTCCTATCATGTGTTTGCCTAATCTTAATTCGGCTTCACTTGATAGTTTATTAGCTTACTGTTGTTCCCAAAATACCTGTTTTTAAAGTGGGCAGTAAAGTTGAATATTTCCACAATCTTACTTAGCACGTGCATCGCTGGGCATCTATTTTTAGTCTTAAAACTAAATGATAATCTCAATATTTAGGATTAGGAGCCAGCAGTAATTCGTTTCCTAGATTCTCTTTTGATTTCTGGTGGAAAAATCGTTGTGTTCATGGTTAAATAAGAGCCTTTCTCCAGCAGCGGCGCGCACCGTGGAGAAGCTGCGGGAGGGACGCAAACTTCTGACCGCACGCCTGTCGTTTGGTGCCCGGAGCACGTTGTTCCTTTTATTTAGCTTAACTTGCCAACGTCTAAATCAGTGACACGGGTATTCGGTGTGTTTGACAAATAGGTTGAGAGACGGCGAACGTAGTCACAGACGCCAATAAACGATGGGAGGCAGTTCAGGGTGCAGCTTGAGTTTAGCCTGAGTTTCACATAACACCAGTTTCACAAGGCACTCACGCCGCTAAAGGAGCAGTGCCCCCCAAAATAGCACACAGGGGACACATCCTTTCAATAAATGTGTTTCTTTGCCCCAACAGAAGTTCAGATCTGCTCAGTTATCATTAATTTTGCTCCTTTATTTTCGTTGCCGGCGAGCACGGAGCAGTCGTGCCCTGGAAGGTTGCGGGGAAGGTGACCGGGATTCTGCACCCCGCGGCGCCCGGGTAGGGGGAGGGCAGGAGCGAGAAAGCGTGAGCACGTTTGTGAAAAAGCGCAAAGGGAGGCGCAGAGGTTGGCGACCTCTAAACATGACCTCGCTGGTACTGAACTCCTCGAATCGCGTCGTAGGAACGAATCTGGGTCTGTGCAACAACGGATCGATGTCAAACTTTAGTCACTGCGCTCAGTTCCTAAAAATTACAATCCAAAGTCAAAGCCGCGTCTCCAATTCGAGAGTCAAAGCGCGGGGACAGACGGAGGAGCCCGGCACCGCACAGCCCCATCCTGCTCAGTATTCTGGGCTTTTTCAGAATCAGGGTGCAGGGCGGGGGTGGGCTGACCCGCTCAGGTTTGACCCGCCAGGGGAGCGCCACGGGTGGGGGTGGCCGGGGAGGTGGCGCGCGAACTGGAGCGCGGAGGACGCGCAGCGCCCGCAGTGATTAGCCCCAGCGGCGCGACCCGGGAGGGCGGACTCTTTCCTCGCCCTCGTGGTCCCCTCCTCCCTCTTCCTTTTTAAAAGACGCTGGCAGGCAGGACTGTCAGCCACCCGGCTGCTGTTTGTACTTGGCCGCGGCGGGAGTGTCTCCAGCTCTTCTGACAGGCAGGGGCGGAGGACCTGCACGTGGGGAACCACTTCTCTTTTCTTCGGGCTCCGCTCGGGACCCGGCGACACCCACGAGTCAGGACACTACGCGTTCCTGAAGGTGGCAGTCCCGGGAGCGATGGCTCCCGCGAGGCGTGGGGAGGGAGGTGGCCGGGGACTTGGCACGCCACTCGCGCCCGGAGCGCAATGAGCGGGGCAAAGGGTGCCAGCGGCAGTGCTAGCAGGCTCCTTCGGCGGGTGCCACTCGCACCCGCGCACCATGCTGACCACTGGCCTGCGGAGCCTGCGGCGCAGCCCCTGCAGCCTTCCCGGCCCCTGCTAATCCACGCCTGAGCGGGCGCCGAGCCCCGGGGAAGGCAGAACCGTGGTGCGCCCCGAACTCCAGCTGCGCGTCCCTCCCAGAGCCCCAGCTGCGCGTCCCTCCCGGCCGCCCAGGGCGCGCGGTGGCGATGGGGGCGCTGCTGGCGCTCTGTCTCCTCCTAGGCGGGCTGTGCTGGGACCCGGCGGTCGCCCAGCAGCCCGGCGAATACTGCCACGGCTGGGTGGACGTACAGGGCAACTACCATGAGGGTTTCCAGTGCCCAGAGGACTTCGATACCCTGGACGCCACCATCTGCTGCGGTTCCTGCGCGCTCCGCTACTGCTGCGCTGCGGTCGACGCCAGGCTGGAGCAGGGAGGCTGCACCAACGACCGTGGCGAGCTGGAGCACCCGAGCATCACTGCGCGTAAGTGCGGGATCTTGGGGGACCAGGCCCTCGTGCGTCCCCCAAGATTGAGTGAGCGCTGCAGGGCGCTAAAGGCCTCTCTGGGTCTGTGAGTAGAGAGGACGAGGATCAAGGGAGGATGGGTGCGTTTCGGGTCCAGGGTCCTATTCCGGTGCAATCTGGTTCCCTGCTACACGCGGTCACCACGGGGCTGTCCAAGGCAAGATTTGCAGGGAAAAGCGAAAAACGTGGTGCTTGCACCTGGTGGCTCTGGGGAAAAGAACCGGCGATCCCGAAAGAAGGGCCAGCTGGGCAGCGCCATACTCGGCTTTTAGGTTTTTAGGGGTGGTTGGCGCCCCACTGCGCTCCCCGGTCATTTTGAAAGGACAGATGGGGGAAGGAGCATGGTGACTTTTGTCAATCTCTCACGCGTGGCCCCCTGAGGGCCACGGAACTTGTGCTGCGTGTTCAGTCTTTCCAGCTCTCTCTCTCTGTCTCTGTCTGTCTCTCTCTGTATGTCTCTGTCTCCCCCCCGCCCCGGTCCCTTGGTGGCATTTCTAAGTCGCTGTCCAGTTCTCCAGACTTCCTTTCATTTCTCTGCATCAAATTACCCTCTCTGGCCCACCCCCTATTGTCAGGCCTTTCAGAAATACCCAGGTCTGTGAGGTGGAGATTTAGAAACTAGGGTCGCGAGGGCTTCTCCGCCCCCCATTCTCACGTCGGAAAACATGGGTCAAATTTCCGCTCCCTTCAGAGCCAAATAAATCACGACCCCAGCAGAGGAAATTTACACCTTGAAAAAAGTTTTCCACCTTAATCGGAACATCAGGGAAACCTTTTAGAGCTGGAGGCGCTGGTTTTATGACTGGGAAACCGGAGAAGCAGGCGGAGCTGAGAACCGGTGACTCCCCAGGACCCTGAGATGCCAGCGGACGAGGAGGTCCCTGGGAGAGGCTGGAGAGTTCCTTAGTTAACACTGTGGAAGCGCCTTGGCCTCAAACTGATGACCCAGATAAAGGGAAGTCTGCGCTTTTTGGTAGCGTTCCATGAGACTCGCTTGGGATTTAATTTTTGGGGCTCAAAATGTCCAATCTTGGAAGACTTAGAAAGTGAAAAAAAGATTACAGTGGAAAATAGGGAACTATAGATTATCCTGGGCTTGTTTGGAAAAACAAACTCTTTGCACAGAAAGCTAATGGCCCAGCCTACAGCAGGTCATCCTGGCCTCTCTGGTACCAGAGGACAGCAAGCTAGAGGGGCAGTCAGTCTCCCTACTCTCAAATACTGGCTCATTTGCCAGTAGTGTAACCTTGGGCAGGTTACTCAGCTGTACTCTGGGCTGCCTCTCAATTTTACAATGGGGATACTGCTTTCAAAGCAGTTAGTTTGTAGATAAATACATCTGAGGCTTAGCTCAGTGCCCAGTAAGTTCTCCTGGTGTTATTTATGTGGGACAAGGGGAGGACACTGAAGAGTTTACACTCAGCAGCACACAATTGGTGAGAGTTACCTGCCACTCATAGGCTGTATATTTGTGAAAGTGATTTCCACATCTAGAAGAGAGATCTTGTTGATTTCAGAGGGTCTCTATGGAAACTTGAACCAGATAAAGGAAAAGCCAGTGCATAATAGGGCTGTAGCCACTGTAGATTTTCTGTCTTCTACCTCTGAACTGCAGGCTACATCCTGGCATGTTTCTATCAAACAGGGGAGAGACATGGAGAAATGCTCAGGATGCCTCTGAGGTAGGAGATTTTATAGAGTACCTGGCTTGTGGAGAGAGAAGGAAATGAGTTTGCCCTGTCTGAGGAATGCTCTTGTATAATGTCTGGGCTGCCAACACCAAGACCTACATCATGGCCCATCTCAGGGTTACCCCAACTTTCCCAGACCTTTGGTGGGGATGGAGAGAAGTGTGCTCACTGGAGTCAACATTCCAAATTGTTTCTGCAAAGAACCAGCCAGAGGTGACAGTTTGTGCTAGGGTAGGAGACATGGTAGAGTGAACTCACTATGGATTTCTATAAATTGCTCTTTCTGGAGTCTCATAAAGTTCTGGGGATGTTGTTTAACAAGCCCTGTTCGCTTAGATTAGACTGGAGAACTTTTAAGACATGGATTGCCAGACTAAGAGACAGGTCAAAGCCTTAAGTGCCCCACCGTGATAAAACTACTAAAGCCTGGATTTAAACTCAGAGTTATAGTAAGTCACACTTTCCCTCCACTGCATGAACAGGAGGGTGGATTCTGGCTTTTTCTGACTCCCAGATGTGCAATAGGATGGCTAATTGCTAACAGAGCCTATAGTATCAGTTTGCTTCCTCCCTGCTAGGAGGGGCAATAACCTTCCCTCCTCACACTTTGAATTTGGGAATTTACCAGTAATCAGCTTTGAAAAATTAAAGCTGACAACAGTGCTAATGTTGTGCTTCTTATTTCTCACCCCTTTAAACTGCCCAAGCAAAACTCAAAGTTTGGGAGGCCTTTTCCTGAGCACGTGTGTGTGTTCTGTTCTTGCCTTTTAGAGCCTGTCTACGTCCCCTTCCTGATCGTCGGCTCCATCTTCATTGCATTCATCATCTTGGGCTCGTTAGTGGCTATTTATTGTTGTACCTGCTTGAGACCCAAGGAGCCCTCGCAGCAGCCAATCCGCTTCTCCCTCCGCAGCTATCAGACGGAGACCTTGCCCATGATCTTGACCTCCACGAGCCTCAGGGCACCTTCCCGGCAGTCCAGCACGGCCACCAGCTCCAGCTCCACAGGTGGTTCCATCCGCAGGTTCTCTTTTGCCAGGGCTGAGCCAGGCTGCCTGGTCCCCTCACCACCCCCGCCTTACACCACAAGCCACCCAATCCACCTGACCCAGCCGTCAGGTTTCCTCGTGTCATCCCAGTATTTTGCCTACCCTGTCCAGCAGGAGCCCCCGCTGCCTGGGAAGAGCTGTCCAGACTTCAGTTCCACCTGACAGTACAGGGCCATGAAGCCACTGTGTAGTCGATGGCAGGCACACTCATCGTCCTGGAAGAAAGTGCTAGAAAGATACGTGCCTTCTAGTTTTAAGGTTTTTAGTGCCAGTCACAGAAGGTTTGACTTTGCAAGCATGGGTGACCATTTCACTTCAGTTTATGCCACTTTTATGAAAAATGCACAACAGTTTGACTGTAGAGTTGCAGACTGGCAGAAAATTCAGCTTTACTGCCTAGAAAAGAAATACTTGTTTCTTTTTATGTGTTTATCAAGTTAAATACAAATATATAAGTAAGAAAGGAAAACACCTAACTGTAATTATCAAAGGTTCACTTAAAAATTAACTATTAAGCAAACTTAAGGGGGGGCAGGAAACCATCTATTTATAACTTTGGGACTAATCTAATCATGAAGAATATTAGCATGGTGAGAACATTCGCTTTTTAAATTAATAACTAAATTTTGTTTAAAATACCAGAGTTTGTCATAATATAAGATTTCAGTAACCACATGGGTTTAAAGTTTAAATATATACTCAGACATTCATTATAACATAAGTTCTATGTGGAATCACTTTCCCTACCCACCAGAGGGAATATTTATTACAGACTTTTTGTTCAGCAACATTTAGTGTTTAAATGAAAGTTGGACAATTGGGTCTTAAAACATTTATTTGTAAAATGAGGTATGTATAAATATAAAGAACTGTAATTTAATGTATTTACCACATTGACGATACTAATTATTTAGTAGTCACACTGTGATTTTTATGTTAATAATAACTCTGGAGTTTAAAGTAAAGCTATTGGTGTAATCATCTTATATTACATGTCTCAAATACCACTGAATTCCATGTCTAATGACTACATATTTGGGCATATAACCTGTTGGGTTAGAATAAATAAAATAATTTTCATGAATTCTATTTGAAATTTTAAATCAAAGTACTTTATTTTATCCCCTTAGTGATAATTCTTTTTAAGTGAATAAAAGGACATGTATTTACTTATTTACATATTTTGAAAGTAGAAGAAATATTCTGTGCACTGGGGCTTGTAAAAGCAGCAAAGGAAGTGAACTGTGATGGACATTTCAGACTGCGGGCTGCATGCATCTCTCGGCTCTGTCATTTAGCTTGCAGAGTTTCAGTATCTGGACATCGCACACAAGAACCTGGATTTCTGTCTCCTAGGGACACATAGAAGACGTGGTACTGTGAGTCCTACTCTGCCATGTGGTCAGGCCAACATAGGTCTCCTGCCCTTTGCCACGCCTTCCCCAGCGGGCCCGTCTCCTTCAGTTACAGTTCCTAACCCGGATGGTGCTGTTTGGGGCGCAGATCATGTGAATTCGCTTTTGCCATGTTGCTCTCGATGGTTCTTTTCAAAACTCATCAGAGTCAGAACTCCGGCCCAGGACAGTTGATTAGCCCTGCCTCTTAGCCCTCCAGTTGGGAGAAACAGGTCAAACACATTATACTTCTGACCAGTCTAAAGGCAGACACACCATGCGTTTTAGGCTCCTCCTTTTTTTCCATGTCTAAAAATGGCTTGACTTCCTCATCTCGAGTCTTTTTTTAAAAATAAACAGCTAAAAGAGGTGAAACACTTTTTTTTTTACTTGCTAGATACTGCTCCTTCTCTAGTTTTAAATTCACCTTTACTGAGGTCTTGTTACGAGCAGGCACCCTGCTAAGGACTTACATGTGCTAACTCCATCCCCGCAACACCCCCAACAGGGAAGGTGTAGATTAGACAGATTTGGTAACAGGCGCAGAGGATCAGGGAGGCATCCAATGTGAGATTTTTGTAGCTCTGAGTAAAAAACCATTGTGACTTCTCCAATTTCATAGGCAGGCACAAAATTGTTGCATTGCTGCCAGTAATGTAAATTTCACACACACACACACACACACACACACACACACACACACACACACACACACACAAAGTTTGCTTTTGTTTGCACCATGGTTGTACATCTGAAAAATTCAAGGTAAACTGCAAAATACACTTTCTTTATAGGGTTCTTATAGGGTTTCTCACTGATGGGGTGGTGGGACATTCTAAAGTCATGCTGGACAGTATGTCTTTGTTGTGTAGACTGTCTCATGCCTTGTAGGTTCGTTCTGCTATAAGCAGGTTCTTCACAATGAATGCTAGTAGCATACTCATTTCCCCCCTAAAACATTCTAACACTAAGATTCCCTTAGGCAATTCCATAATGTCCTCTAGATGGTGCAACCTCCCCCTCCCCCAAAAGAACAATTTTATTTGCTATTTCTTTGGTGAATAGTTGATACTCATTAGTGCTGCGTTACACAGAGTTCACATCTGCAAATTTCCCTGCCTTAGCAGAATGCCCTAGTTGATTGAGTTAACTAGCTATAAGTTGTTTAAATTTTGCATTTGCAGACACCTAATCAAATCATATCCCCATGTACTTGGTGATATACTGTATATATCTTTGTATATGTCTTTTCTCTGGAAGCTGAAACTAAGTAGCCAGTAATGTTGGTATTCACGATCTCAGAGTAAGAAAGCCAGCTTGTGGCAGATTTGTAGGCACTGTCCCATCCCATAAGACTTTGGGTCCCACTCACCTAGGATCAGGCCTCGTGAGAGAGGCTGAATGAAATGCAGTTCTGACTTAAGCCAGTATCTACTATGGGTTCAGGCATGACAGCAAATACTTGGACTCAGATGTTACAGAGTTGCATTACATTGCTGTTACATTATGTTATCTTCCTGCAGTCAGGATGCTCACAGGATGCTCATAAACCACTACTGCCTGCAGCACAAAGCACTGCCTTTTCTGGAGGGCCTATGAGACTCCAACCTTGAGAGATGGGTGGGATTTGAGTGAAAACTGGATGGAAAGAGGAAAGGAGTGCTGGAAATAAGGGGAAGAGCATACTAGGTGGGAAGCATCTATGAGTTGGCAGGATGAACATTCTGGAAAATAGACAAGAAACCAGAAGAAGGGTGAGTGGAGAGAGAGGCAGGGGCAGATTGGAGCTTCTGAACACCATGTTGGGTGGATAGATACCAAATGGGAGCCTTAGGGGATTTTAGGGGGACTGTGACTTGATCACATCTTTGCTTTACGAAGATCAGACAGCAAGGATCAAATCAAGTCACTTGAAACTCTCAAGGAGAGGCTCACCATCATCTACCACACCAACAAAACATGTAAGAACTTATCTGACTCAAGGTTTTATTACTATTACAATGAACTTGGGTCCTAATATCCTCAGGCTATAATCATGGTGAAAATCACAGAGAAAGAGTCCTGTGTTTCAAAAGATAGTTATGTCAATAAATGGATATTTATAAACATCATATGTGTCCTAAGTACTTTACGAACTGCATCATTTAAGCTAATCTGGAGTAGAAAACATTGCCATGCCTGTTCTGTAAATAAATCCAGGCAGGGATATTAACCACTATGCCCAAGTATAAACAAAAATTGAGTCATGATTTGAATCTAGGTCTGCTTTGCAACTCTGTATCCCTTAAAACATTAGGTCTAAAAGGCCTGATTTTCTCAGCCTAGCCTACTTTTCAGAAAATATATTGGAACTTATCTGCACTAAGTTGTTTCTGCTTTGTAAAGTGGAGCTGTTAATAGTACCTTACTTGCTTGAGGTTAAGAAGTTGAGATATTACTTCATATTATTTGATTTTAGTGGGGAGGAAGCTAGGAAGTTAATGTTAAATCATAGAAAGAGCTGTAATACTCTAGAACAAAAGTGAAAGGCAGGGCCAGGTATTTGGCTCAGCAGAGTGCAAGGTCATGAGTTTGATCCTCGGTACCAAAAAAAAAAAAAAAAAAAAAAAAGGAAAAACAAAAATAAAGTAACATTATGCCACTTCACAGGTTATGGGAGCACGTTTTGAGGGGCTGGGGAAATAGCTCAGTGGTACAGCCCCTGCCTGGCAAGCATGAGGTTGTGAGTTTAATCTTGGTTCAAAAAAAAAAAAAAAAAAAAAAAAAAAAAAGGCTAAATACTGTTGTTTAGGGGAAAGAAACAGAGAAAATCGCCCTACAGTTTGACAGTCCCTGATAACCTTTTGCTAGCTTCTTTTTATTGGCTGGGGTGGGCCACTCTCCCATCCCTATTAGTCAGCTTTGTTTCACTATAACAAAAACCCAGGGATAGACTTTAACAAAGAGAAAGGAAATATTCAACTTACAATTTTGGACGTTCTGGGCCGTGATTGATCACCCTATTGGTTTGAGTCTATGGCGAGGGATGCATCATGGCAGCAGCATGTGACGTAAAGAACCTGCTCGCAGCTTGAGACAGGGAGCAATGAGGAAGAGAGAAGGGTCCCACAGTCCCCGTGGAGGACATGTCCCCAGCAATCGAGGCACATTTCTCTAGGCCCCACGTCCTACATGTCCCACTACTTTACAATAGCGTCACACTGAGGACCAAGGCTTTGGGGAAACATTGGAGATCCAAACTACACATGACCTATACATGAAGCTTTTCATTTACTTTAGAAAACATATTTAACACAGTGAACTTGTCTCAAACTGTATTATTCACTCCAAAGCAAACAGATTGAATTTTTTAATTGTTCAAATGGATTGCTTATTTCTTTTAACTTTTTTCATCTGTTTTTCCTTCTCGTAGTCAATTTTTCAGATTGCCTTGAATCTGTGGAAATTTCCCAAAATCCGATAATGAGAACGTTTCCTGAGAAATGGACAGAGTCACAACTAAGATTTTGGCACATTAGTGGTTCAGTTTTGCATAATCTAAAAGGTTTATTTAGCATATGTTCAGGGAAAAAAAGCATTTACAGGCATGCTAAGCTACCAAGGGAACAAATTATTAACATATTTCTTTATGCACACAGCTATTTTAAAATTGCAATTAAAAATTCATTATTAATGAAATTCTGGCAGGGAAGTCTTTTCAGTTGCTAGGATAGTTTTTATGTACTTGAAACTAATAAAAACTGGATGTTAAAGAAAGTGTTCCATATTTTCAAACAATTTTTATTAGCCTACTTGTGAAATTATCCAGGTTACAAGACCTTTATTTATTAAAGTGAAGTTGGTTGTATATTACTGAATGGAAAGGCCATAAGCATACAAAACAGATTTTAAATGGAAATGAAGCCCTGAACTTATGGGAGTGTACTTCAAATTTGCTGTTTCCTTATGGTAGTAGTAGAAGACATCTTAAGTCAGTATAAACAAAGCATTTAAGGGGAACGGCATTGAAGGTGTAAATTATGTGACACAGTTCACAGCTAATTTCTCGATAAATGGTTTGCTGTGGTTTCACATGAAGATCCAGATCCAATTGTCATTGGGAAGATTGTAGGAGAGGGCAGGGGACTTCAGACAGCTGAACACATGGGGCTTCAGACTAATAATATCAGAAGCTCCTCCAGTGTTCTGCCAGGACTCTTAAACTAATGCTATTCTTTTTTTTTTTGTCTTTTTCATTTTTACCGGTACCAGGGATCGAACTCACGACCGCCTGCTTGCAAGGCAGGTGCTTATGCCGCTGAGCTAAATCCCCAGCCCCCAACTAATTCTATTCTTATTGAAGGGTCATTGGCTTGACTTTTACCAAAGGATGCTCTTTTTGATAAAGCTATTCTAAATTCTCGTATTCCCCTGTACTTCTGCAGCATATGTTCAATTTTATTATTTTCTGGTTACTTTCTTAAAATGTTATTGGCTAAAAACAGCCACTTTCTCATCAATTAAAAAAAGGTGAACTGTTTCAAAACACTTAGTAAATTCAGCCAACCGAAAAAGACAGAAAACATGAATGAGTTGTTTACTTGCAAGACGATTTAAATACATAATAGGGACAATCTTATGAAGCTTTTCTGACACACTCAAAATACAGTAATTTTATTTAAAAAAATTCTTAATGATCAGAACCAGCCCTCTTAC